TGTTATTGTTACTTATACATTACATATATATATATTTATAAATACCATAAGAAGACCACACACACACACACACACATATGGGGGAGAAAGAGAGAGAGAGAGAGAGAGAGAGAGAGAGAGAGAGAGAGATGAGAGAGAGAGTGAGAGATGAGAAGAGAGAGAGAGAGAGAGAGAGAGAGAGAGAGCCTATGGTTGTTAGCTGCCATGTAGGTGCTGGTAATGAACCCAGGTCCTCTGCAAGAGCAACCATGCATTCTTGAACACTGAGTCATCTTTCCAGCCCCTCAACCTTGCTTTAAAAGAGAACTTCAGCTGGGTGTGGTGACGCACGCCTTTGATCTCAGCACTCGGGAGACAGAGGCAGGCAGATCTGAGTTAAAGGCCAGCAAGGTCTACATAGTGAGTTATAGGACAGCTGGAGCTACAGGGAGACCCTGTCTCAAAAAGACCAAAAAAAAAAGAGAACATCACTGCCTGAATGTCTATGTGATTTACCACAAAATTTATGAGTATTTAGTGAGCTGGAGAAGAATAAGGGGTTTTTTTCCCATTAGGCTTGAGCTCACCCCACAGCACAAATCTTACATTTGTATTGCATACTGTTTCAAAGCTTATAATTTACAAAACTTTGTTTACTCAAGGCAGGATAAATGATCTTAAAGTAAAAAATTAATTTTATTAATTAAATTAATGAACAAATTTAACTTATGAATAATAAGGAAATGCTTTACATAATTAATATTGATACCTAAAGGTTAATGTTCAATAGGAGTAGAATTTCAATTTGTTAGATGAAACAGCATTAAACTATTTATATTTTGATTTCCGAACTGTACACTAAAAATGTTTGATATAATAAATAATACCAAGTGTTTTCATAATAAAAACAATTAATAAAAAATAGAACCCCTTGTTCACCAAATGATGATATGACACTGTCTTTGAGACTCTTATCACTAATATAGCTAAATCACTTATTTCATTATAAGAAAAGCATCTGATACTTTTTTCTCAGCTTTATTCTGATGAAATTTCCTGGTATTTCAGGGACTTCACAGAAGACAAATTATATGTAAATAATTTGAATAAAAATAAGTTTAATTCAGAAAAAAAATGACTCAGAAGAAAAACCTCAAAGTTCTGCATAGCCTGTTATAGGTACCGTCTGAAGAACTCTGTGCCTGCTTCCAGAGGTTAAGCTGGGAGGTTGCCCTTTCCTTTCCATAGACATACAGCTGGTACAGGGACTGGGAACTCAGTCCTTCCCTGTGACTTTTAGTAAGTATAACAGATCTGAATTTCTGTAGGAATCTTAACCTGCTATGATATTAAATATTTTTCCTCTTTTACATAAAAAGAAAAATGTTAGGAGCTACTATTATTATGGGCACAGCCATTGCTGCATTAGGCTGTGGCAGCTTGCCTTGACTTAAGCATTGGAGAAAGAATGCCTCCACCTGGGGAGTTTCCCTGCTCTCTGCTTCTGTGGTCTGAGTTGACAGGCTGTGCTTCCCTGATTAATTGGCAGTCTTGGAAACGTAACTAAAGAGTTCTGTTTCACTTCATGGACACCAGAGTTTCTCAGCACCGTTAGCTTGGTTTCTATATAGAAATAATGAGTTATAGTAGTTGCTAAGAGTAATCACAAACAGTACACCTTATAGCTAAGATATTATGCAGCTGAATCTTGGATACTTTAAACATTGGGTGAGTTTCGATTGGTGAAGTAATGTATTCTTATGTATCCTTGGTTATTCCTTGGTTACTTTCTGTTTAGTGATGTATCCTTAGTTATTCCTTGGTTACTCCAGATCTGATTCCTATATAAGCTTGCTTTACTTCACAATGAACATGCACTTGCACACAGACCTCTGCATTCACTGCGTCTTGATTTCTATCCGTCGGGGTCCCCAAGCACATCAGCCTTGAACTGTGGTCGCTGTACTGTGACAGAAAAGCAATGTAGAAAAATGTGAGCAAATTTCATGTGCTGTCACTGTTTCTTTAACTACGTTATTCAAGTCTTTTTCTCTCAGGTTCCTAAGAAATGTGTTGTTACTCTTCTACCAAAGGCCACTTTAAGAAGCTGTCTGCAGCCCTGTCTCAGCTCCTTTGGAAGGCCAATCTTGAGAACAGATGTAAGAATCAATACCCGTGTTTGTTTTCTCCTTTAAAAAATATTGTTTTGGGGTCAAGCCTTCAGGATTATAACAATATTTTTCCTAGCATGTTGTGTTTGAAAATTAAACCCATTACAAGACTTAATCACTATGAACTAAAAGATTTTTGTACACCATCTGTCTCTCTTGCCTCAGGAAAGTGAAACATTTTGTCAGTACCTCTGCACAGACCATGTATCTACACTGGTCTCTATCCCACAGTGATTGTGGAGAACAGAGTCAGAGGTGGGATGGAGGGATTGAAAGGTAAAGAACACTTATGAATATTTTCCTTTAAATAGAAAATCTTGCTGGCAATTGCAATTATACCTACTTTATATAAGAAGCATGCTATTTTAAAGATAAAAGTAAACTGGGGCAAAGGCTGACTTTAAAGGATTTAAATATATTCAAAACTCACAAGTAACCTAACAGAATCCTGTAGGCTTGAACTAATTATCCTGAAAACACAATAAGAAATGAAAATAAATCTACTTCAACCCACATAGAATGAAAAACTCACTCTTCTGTAAATCAGGCCACATGAATTTAAATAAGTATTATCTTTTAGAAAGGCAATGCTTATTTTGAGTTAAAAGGATACATTATTAAAAGTGTTTAAGACAGGTGTGGTGGCCCATGCCTTTAATCCCAGTACTATGGAGATATGGGCAGGCAGATCTCTGTGTGAAGACATAGTGATTACATTGCATGTAGGCCATTCTTTTAATTAGTAAAATATTGCTTCATCTAATTGCTTAACCATGAAGGAAGCAAAAGTTCACAGTCTATTCCAAGGTTGAAAGTAACTATAACTGCTCTAACACAAGCATGTAACACAGAGCACTGGAAAAGTGCTCATTTGAGAATGAATTTAAAAACATTAATTTATATTGCAAAAGACAGAGTTTTGGATGCCGAACACCTGTCAGATTCTAACACTTGCTTTAAGAGTTTACCTAGGGGAACCTAGCTGGTCAGTGGTAAAGCTATTATATAAAATATTATCTGTTGGCTAGCAACTTTCTCCCTTTGGAACAAAAAGATAGCCAAAATTTATGCCACTTTTATTCAGAACCCATTCAGTATAGGAGGAGAAATTTCAAAAATGGAAACAAATGTTTATTCAGCAAATCTCAATTACTCGGTATGTAAATACTATTTGCATGAATATTGAGTTGTGGAGGGAGAGTTCCTGAAGTAGGCACTGTGTTTTTAAGAGCAGTGAAAAGAGGTCTTCATGTGGTCAGAGGGATGGGATCTTTAGAAATCTCAAAATATTTCACCAAAGATCCTTTTTTTTCTCTACACCAAGAAAGTCACACCTGTCAGTCCCATGGAGAAATGCAAGCACAACAATCCTTCCATGACTCACTCACTGTGACTTTCTTCAACGACAATATATTCTGATTTCTAATACTGTGGATTTGTCTTCTCTCTGCATTTCCTTTAAAGAAACTGCTTCCACATGTATACTTTGTTTCTAATGTAAAGACCATACTGATTGGGTGAAATTATATTTACTTTATAACAGTTCACAATATTTTTCTTGAGTTCTTATATAATTTTGTTAACAAACGACAGATATTACAGTTGTAATTCTATGATAGCAAGTAACTTTTCATATATCATTTTCACTTGTCTATTGGGAAGTAAAAGTTCTTGAATTCTTCTCACCGAATGAATTCATTGCTTAGAATTCTTTCTTTATGAATGGCCTAAGTATTCACCTCCTCAAAGTCTTAAATCACTACGTTAGTCTGGCTCATTTTATTTTGATAGAGTGCTATTGGGATTCATTCACATAAATAAAAGTTATAATTCTTTAAAATTAAAGAAAATTGGGATTTTGAACCTACACTAAGTTGAGTAATTGACCTGTTTCTCTTCAAAATTCAGGTAACTTGAAATAAATTCTTTACTGACAATGAATTATTTCTGAGTGACAGGGTTTGTGCTGCTGGGACTGTCCAGTTCAAAGGAAGTGCAACGTTTCTTGTTTATGATATTTTCTCTGCTCTACCTAGCAATACTGCTGGGCAACTTCCTCATCATCCTCACTGTGACCTCAGAGCCCCGCCTTCACACCCCCATGTACTTTCTGCTTGCCAACCTCTCTTTCATCGATATATGTGTTGCCTCTTTTGCTACTCCTAAAATGATTTCAGACCTTCTGGTCGAACGTAAAACTATTTCTTTTGAAGCCTGCCTGGCGCAGATTTTCTGTGTTCATCTGTTCACTGGTAGTGAGATGGTTATCCTTGTGTCCATGGCTTATGATCGCTATGTTGCAATCTGCAAGCCTCTCCACTACATGACCATCATGAGCCGCCGCGCGTGTATCACTCTTGTCATCATCTCCTGATGTGTGGGCTTCATCCACACCACTAGCCAGTTGGTGTTCACTGTTAACTTGCCATTTTGTGGTCCTAACCAGGTGGACAGTTTTTTCTGTGATCTTCCGCTGGTGACCAAGCTAGCTTGCATAGACACTTATGTTGTCAGCTTATTAATAGTTGCAGACAGTGGCTTTCTCTCCCTGAGTTCCTTCCTCCTCTTGGTTGTCTCCTACACCGTGATTCTCATTACAGTCCGGAATCGCTCCTCCGCGAGCATGGCCAAGGCCCGGTCCACCCTAACTGCTCACATCACTGTGGTCACGCTGTTCTTTGGACCGTGCATCTTCATCTACGTGTGGCCCTTCAGCAGCTATTCCATTGACAAGATCCTGGCTGTCTTCTACACCAGTTAATCTCTCTGTCTCACATCTCATAATGATTACCATGACTCCTTCTGGAAATGTCTAGAAGCACTGTGAGAATGCTACAAGTCCTAGTAAATTTACATTGTTTCCTGGAAAAGAAGATTTCTAATGACTGCAGAAACTGGGCCTGGTTTCAGATACCAACTTCTTTTTTCTTCCTCAAAAAGCAGCACTACACAAATTGTTGACTTTTAAATAACCATTCATCTCAAAGCCATGTATAGTATACACACACACACACACACACACACACACACACACACACACATATAATACATTGATTAAAATTCATTCTGTATATCTGATAACACATGAAGACAATTCTGTGATGGGCATTAATGAATAGTAAAATGCAAAATGATATGCCCAACTGGCAGAAAGTGTTTCATCCAGTGATTTGAAAGTCCTTCCTCACTGTGGTGCTTAGCAATACTCTTCATGGAAAACAAGTCACTGAATAAATTTATTCATTAGCATGAAAGATAGTTTCAGTTGTCCACTTGACAGACCTGTGAAGAACCACAACCCCACAAACTGCAGAAATTCCTCTATTGGATTGGTGTGTGGGGCATGTCTGTGAAGCATTTTCTTGACTGAATGATGTGGGAGGGCCCAGCCCAGTGCAGCTAGTGCCACCCCTGGGAAGCTGGTCCTGGGTTGTATAAGAAAGCAGGCTAGCACAGGCCAGGAAAGTAAGCCGGTATGCAGTGTTCCTCTATAGTCCACGCTCCAGCTCCTGCCTCCAAGTTTCTGAAATGAGCTCTGTCCTGACTTCCCTCAATGACAACTGGGGTTGGGACTTCTAAGCCACATAAACCTTTTCCTCCACAAGCCGGTTTTGGTCAAAGTGGTTTATCACAACAACAGATAGAGAAGCAAACAAAAACAACCAGTATTCTGTATTTGGTTTTGTTAATTTTGGCTCGTCAAAGGTAAAATAATTTTGGAATATCAGAGATATGTTAAAATTCTCTACCTCTTCTCTTGATAATTGAAGCTTCATGATGTCCTCAGGTTTTGTTTGTTTTTTTTCATATGAAAACTAGCAGTAATTTTCACTTTTCTCTACATTTTGTGGTTGTTATACTTTCCTTTGTTTCATTAAAATGAAAGGTCTATGAATCTGAGAAAGTGTGATTTTAAGTACTTAATCTTCTATAATAGCCGAATATTCAACTTCAGATGTTTGAAAAAATCACATATTGAATAAATAAATATACTGACAGTTCTTGTCATATCTTAAGAATAAAAATGGAAACACTGAGCTGTGGGTGTAGCACAGTAGAGCGGTACTTGTCCAGCATACCCAAGGTCTTGAATTCACTCCCTAGCACTAACAAGAAAACCCATCTTTCTTGGGCCATATGAGGTGGCTCACACCTGTAATCCTGGTTTGTCATGCTGAGGCAGGAGGTTTGCTAAAAGTTAGATGCCAGTTTAGTGAGTTGCAGGTCAGCAAGGGCTGCAGAATAAAACCCTGTTTCAAAAAATAATAATAAACAACAGAACGATAATATGGAAAACAGTCTGGTGTTTTCTGGAAAAAATACTGAAAGAAGAGCTACCATACATTCTAGCTCTTTGTCTTCTGGATGTGCAATCTGAAGGTAAACAAGTAGCATACCAGAGACATATACCTGCCTCCTCATGTGTTACTGCAGGACAGCTAAGAAATGGAAGCAATGTCAGTACCTCCAATAGGTAAATGGATAAAGGAAATGCCATTTACACACACCATGGAATATTGCTCAATCATAAGGAAGAATGAAGTCTTGCTATTTGCAAGAAAATGGATGGAGCTGGAGGATATCATGCTTTAGGGAACAAATCGGGCAGAGAAAGACAAGTAACACATGTACTTTCTTATGAGGAAATGCAATTTCACAACCGGCACATTTACAAGAAGGAATTCAATCTGAATGGAGAATAGTGATTACTAGTCATCAGAAGGGGAAAGAGAAGCTGTATTTGATCGGTGCACACCGTATGCACGTGCTGAAATATCACCTAAAGCCCTATTGACATGTGTGATTGATATAGGTTACTCAAATTAAAATAATGAACACCGAGATTGCTCTTGGATAAAGGTGCTTGCTACCAACTATGGTGACCTGCGTCGATACCCAGGACCCAAATGATAGGAGAGAACCTATTTCTGCAAGTTGTCCTCTGATTTCCACACTTCCATGATGACACGTATGCACACTCCAAACAAACAAACAAGTAAATGCAATTTTAAGTAAAATAAATAAATAACAACCGTATATCCAAAGTCTGTAACAAGTCGCTAATCAGTGCTGCATCAATAACAACTAAAGAAAGTGATTCTAAGAGCAAAAGTGGACTTCTTTTAACATCCCTAATGTTCATATAAATAGGTATAAACTGATCCTAAATAGTGACTGATGTTTATGCATATGTATACGATTGGTGTCATAGAAGAGTACGGAGTCCACCCTGTGTTTCTGATCAATGACAGAGATCAAGAGCCTTGGGAGTTTCCCTTACAGGAAGCATATCCTTTCTTTGTTTCTTTCAGACAGGGTTCCCCTGTAGCCCCAGATGGTTTGTAACTCACTATGTAGACCAGGCTGGCCTTTAACTCACAGAGATCCACCTGCCTCTGCCTCCCATGTCCTGAGATTAAAGGAGTTGGCCACCACAATGGGTAAAACATACACTTTTAAAATCACATACCTCCAGTTTCCAGGAATAATGACAGTATGATTTTCAGGATATTTGTTTTCTAATCCCCACCTAGATTTCTTGAAGATCTCCCCTTTTTGTTATATTGGCTCATAGTTTTGAAATGAAAATTTATTTTTATATCACCTTTTTAAGCAAAATAAACTAGTAACATAAATCCAGTTGAAAAAATAAAATTGCAGAATTCATTCCAAAATGCTCGTGTGGAGTTGTGGAGGTGTGTGTGTGGAGGTGTGTGTGTGTGTGTGTGTGTGTGTGTGTGTGCAATTATACTTTTATGTATTTTATTGAGATCAGTTGATGATAACATATTTCACATTGCATGAACATAATCTTAGAAGAAACTCTTTTAGCAGAATCATGGTTTTAAGAAACCCCATCCAAGAATCATTTGGAGCGAGTATAAAGCCATAGAATTCAGTGAAAAATGACTTGTCTGTTCCTCAATTTCTTCATAGCTGCTTTCATCTCTCCATTTCTCAGTGTGTAAATAAGAGGATTCAACAGTGGGGTGAAAATTGTGTAAAACACAGACAGGAGCTTGTCTGAAGAGAAGCTGCTGAATGGCCACACGTATATGAAAATGCAAGGTCCAAAGAATAGAGTGACCACCGTGATGTGTGCTGAGCAAGTAGAGAGAGCTTTGAATGCACCCCCTGACGAGCTCTGCCAGACAGTGAGCAGGATGCAACCATAGGAGACTAGGAGGAGCAGAAAACAGCTGAGGGAGAGCAGCCCGCTGTCTGAGAGCATGAGTATGCCCAGGACGTAGGTATCAGTGCAGGAAAGTTTGATCACCAGAGGGAGGTCACAGAAGAAGCTGTCTACCTCATTGGGGCCACAGTAAGGTAAATTCACAGTAAAGGCTATTTGACTGATGGAGTGCAGAAATCCAACGCCCCATGAAGCCAACACCAGCTTGGTGCAAGTCTGCCTGCTCATCATTGTCATGTAATGCAAGGGCTTGCATATGGCCACGTACCTGTCATAGGCCATGGAGACCAGCAGTACCATCTCAGCCCCACCAGTAAAGTGCAAGAGAAAGATCTGAACCATACATCCTTCAAAGGAGATGAGCTTCTGAACGCTGAGAAAATCTGAAATCATCTTGGGAGTGGCAAATGAGGCCAACCACATGTCCAAGAAAGACAGATTCCCCAGCAGGAAGTACATAGGTGAGGAGTTCAAGCTGGGGGCAGAAATGACAGTAATCACAATGAGGAGATTACCTGCCATAATGGCCACATAGATCCCAGAGAAAAATATAAAGAAAAACATTTGTAGTTGTCGTGAAGAGCAGAGTCCATGCAACACAAATTCTGATACCACAGAATAATTCTGCAGGACCATTGTTTATGGTTTTAGGTGCTGTCTGAATCTATAAAAAGAAAAGAAAATCTTGGAATTTGTATCAAGATACACAGACATGAAGGACACCATTTAAGTAAAATAAACCTGCCTGGAAAGACAGACATTCTAACACAAGGAATCTGAAAACATTAAATTTATAAAAATAGTGATGGGTTATTAGGTTGAGAGTGAAGTGGAGGTTGAGATAAAGTAGGACAAAGGGCATGAAAGAGACCAGCCTCGTCTACATAGTGTGTTACAGGCCAGCTGGGGCTACAGGAAGAAACTGTCTCATAAAACACAAACAACAACAACAAAACCCAAATCCAACACCCCAAACCAAAATAGCTGAAAGTATATTTTAATGTTCTCATTGGGATATTGATAATTGTATAACACAAGTGCTAAAAGCTTGATATCTAGTATACACATGAGAAGATCATGTATGCCACGTACGTGCACATGTACTGCTAACTTAAAAAGGAGAGGAGGGAGAAGCACCAGACTCCCCCATGGAGTGGGAGAGCCCCTGGGCCCCTCCAGCTGAGGAACTATTGGCAGTTCATGGTTTATTAGGCAGCTTTCTGTAGTTACTTGGTGAGTTGTCCATGCCCCAGTGGATGAGCCCAATACCATATGCCTGTGCCAGCAGTAACTGGACTTAACTATACCATCAGTCAATCAAGCAAGTAGTCCAAATTAAGGACACAGAATTGAGACAGAGAAGAAATAAGAGTTACTGGGTAGAGTTGGGGAAGAGAGTGAGGGGTGAATATGATTAAGACACACTGTACACATGTATGAAATTTCCAAAGAATAAATAAAACATGTGAAAAGGGAAATAAAGAAGGGAGGGAGGGAGGGAGGGAGGAGAAAGGAGGGCAGGGGTGGGAAGGAGCGGGGAAGGAAAGAAGTGGTGGATATACGAAAATTGCTAAGCATATGAACTCGATCAATTAGAGGTTATCTAAGTACAATTTTAATATGTTTAAGCTAGTCTAACATGCACTATATGGAAGATGATTTTAGAACTTTGAACTAACATGCATATTTGCCTTATTACAATACAGTGTTTCACATCCTTTCTATTTATGACAAAAGCGAAAGAAAATCAAGCACAAACATTTTGATGGGCAGCTGTATCTAATTATCTAAACATAAGTTAACATGGATATGAGATTTAAAGACAAAAGAATAGTTGATGATGATGTTTAGAGAATTCATTTAGCAAAAGGGAAAAAATAAATAAATTCTGTGTATAAAAGCCTCTTAAATTTAATTTATAAATATAGGCTAGCTCACAGAACTGGAACACAAATGGTGTGTGTTTAGACATTTAAAAAATACTTTTATTGATTTTTTGTGCACTTCATATAATAGATTTTAAGTTTAGACATCTCTCCTCATTCATGCCTCCCATAACCCCCACCTGATTTTATGTATTCTGTCATATATGTTACGTCCTATTGAGTCAAGCATTTGCACCCAGTTGTCCATCGGTGCAAGTTCACTGACTGCAGTCTAGTCAGCCTATCTAGAGTCACTCCCTTAAAGATCTGCTCTTCCTCACCCAACAGTAATCAGCTGACAGTAGTTCCTAGGCTAGGGTTGGGGCCTGCCGACCATTTTCGTTATTCTGTGCTGAGTTTTTGTCTGACTGAGCTAGCATGGGTCTTGTGCGTGCTGTCACCATTGTTGCAAGCTCACTTGAGAAAGTTCCAGTGGCCCGAAAGCCTCTTTATCCTTATGTTCATGCACCAACCCTGACTTTTGCATTCTTTCTACCACCTCTTCTGCAATGGTCCCTGAACTGTGGGTAAGTGAGGTCCTATCCAGGAACACACACTCTGCAGTCTCTTATTCTATAAAACACAGCTAGTTGTGGCCTTCCCTGTACATCACAATGTGTGATATGAGGAAGCTTTACTAGTGAGATTTGAGGGATGTATTGGAATAATTTCTACGCCCTGTTCTATTATGTGTCATGAGTCTTAGGTATAGAGGTTCCACTGTAGATGTGTCACTTAGGGCTGGGCATATATGTTTGGAAATTTTATAGTAGGGCCACTATTGTGTTATGTATGATTTATTCAATTTCTTTTATTTTTATTTTTTATTTTATTTTATGTGTATGTGTGTACTGCTTTCATGCATGTAAGTGCACCCAGGTTGTGAAATGCCCTCAAAAGACAGAAGAGACCACGGGATCCCCCAGAACAAAAATTACAGACCATTAGTAGTTGCCATGTGGATGCTAGGATTCAAACCTGGGTCTTTTGTAAGAGCAGCCAGTGCTCTTAACCACTGACCCATCTCTCCAATCTTTATCATATTCTTAAATAGTGCTTTAGAGGAAAGTGTGAAAAGATAGCATAACTATATAGAGCTGTATAGAGATGCTTGTTATATTTAATTTTTGTTGTTATTAAAACAACAAAAAGCCATATATATGTGTATATATTTAACCGTTGCCATCTGTCTGCAAGGACAACCTAAAACTGTAAACCTTTTCTTCTTCCATAATTGGCAAATGCACAGAGAACACTAACGTGGCAGGGTTCACTTACAAAACAGTTTGAAAACTCAAAATATGGGCTGTAATCAAGTTCTGGAAAGTGAAAGAGAGAGACAGAGTAAGAAATCAAGAGGGTGAGAGAGCAAGAGGTGGGGAGAATCCAAGAGAGAGAGGTCTTCTTACCCCAGTAACAGATACAGTCTGTTACTTGTATATCTTTATATCTTTGGTATTGTTTCTTTTGTATAATTGTAATTAGAACATTTTACTTTTATGATTTAAATGTTACATAAAAATTATTAGCTTCAGAAAATAAAATTATGATGTATTTTACTGTAATATTTGTGGTTAATTACAATAGATTCGGCTCAGATATTCGTGTTTCCTTGTGAATTAAAGCTCAACTTAAGATAATACTTCCTAAAGTCCAAGAGAGTTGGTGTGTCTCCTGTGTTAAGACTTCTTGTAATATCTTTTCTCCTGTTTTTCTTTTATATCAATTTTCTAAGATCTGATTTTCCTATAATAAAATTTGAAGTACAAATCAACCCTCCTCCCCCTCCTCCTCCTCCCCCTTCTCCCCCCCCCTCCTCCTCTTCCTCTTCCTCCTCCTGCTCCTTTTACTTTTCTTCCTCCTCTTCTTCCTACTGGACAGTTTCTAACCCTGGAGTTTAGAACCTGCTATGCAGGTCTGTCTGACCTCAAACTCTGACCATCTTCATCCCTCAGGCAATCAAATTCTGGGACATCAGAGACAGGCCCAGCATACCTGGCTCTTGCTCTTGATTTGGGATTTTCCTCCTTAGTGGCTCTTAGAAACTGTGGCAATAGTCAGACTGTTATTTCCCTGCTCATTTGCTCACAAAGTCACCCATTAACATGAGTACGACTTTTTATTTCGCTTCAGTGAGAATCTAGCCAAGTCAAAGGGAAACAAATCAGTTAAGCTAGTCTCAAAATCTAGCCTCACCCTCAACATCTTTATTGTTGTTATAGTTTTCTTTAATGATTTATTTGGAATTTGGTAGTCATTGATCTAACTCATATACAGATATAGTATTTGTCCACTGATTGATTGCCCCTGAGAGGAATTTAATGTGACATTAATAGAAGAGATGTCTTTTAAGTCATTATGACAAGTACCAAACCCTAAAATCTCTGTGACGACCTTGGGGGATAATTGCACAAATACATAGGAGTTCAGTTCAGCATGGTATATTGAAGTACATCATTCTGTAGCTCCAGATGAAGCAGGAGGAGAAGTATGGACTTCATTATGAATTCATCATGAGCACTGAACTGGAACCTCATTCTCCTCTCTAAGAGGTGATATTGCATATAACTTTTTATAAATAGCAATGTATAGACTTCTTCAAGAACAATTTTACAAGAGATACTGAACTGTTTTTCCTACAAGCTTGTCTTTTATAGACATTGAGCAATATAGCATGAAAAATGAATAGTGTTGTAAGATTTCTAGAGGGAAATGAGGCACATTATTACACAGACATTTTCTAATAATGGGGCCTGGATTAATACTTAAAATAAAAATCAGCATGTGATGACGGCTGCCGCTTCTGACTTAGGTGACTTACATAATGTGTACCTCAGCTGGACTATCCATGAGACTGCTGTGCTGCCCAGGGTGCTCAGAAGTTCCAAAGGGGAATGAGACCTCAGGATCACTTTTGTCATTCTGTAATTCTCACAACTACAGTACATTTAAACATTTCAATGAAAATTTTTATAATTAGACATTACCCTTCTTAGGTTGGCATTTTAAATCAGAAACTAAAAGTCACTGTAGATACCATTAACAAAGTTACAAATCAAGAATTCTCCACTACACAGGTTATGAAGGCTGGCATCCATCCTAACACGAATACTGTATGTCAGAAAACTTTAGGCTTCTTTGTGATAATTTCCTTTTTTCTTCTCATGAAAATACAAGTAAATCTAAAATATAATTGATTTGAACACAGTAATTTATAGAAGTTAAATTGATGCAATAAATGTAAAGTTTTTTGTTATTTAGTCAAATATATATCAAACTAGATTTGGGTAATAGGGGTACAACCCAGTAAATATACTGCAAACCACTGAATTGCATATTTAAAATAAATGAATTACAGTATAAAGTAATAACACAATAAAGATTTTTCTAAAGTAGATACTAAAATAAGTGTAATAAAACAGCATTTTAATTTCAAAGATTTAAAATTAGTGAAATTAATATTAAATTTAGAATCAGAAAAATTGAGATTGATATTGTAAATAAATGCCTAGTACTTTAAAAATAAAATATAAATATATAAGTAAATACAACTCATAATGACACAAAATTTGACTGAAAAGTTATTATGGTATAATGGACCATACATAGTGAACAAGATACTGAAATAAATTACTGCATTTTTTACTATTATCTTAAGACACTTGCTTGAATATATTCCAAAGGGTCTTTACTCACCAGGAGCTGAGGTCC